CATTGCATCCAGTTTTGGGCATACATAAGAAAATAGCATATGTGATGAATTGCTATCACATTGTGCAACACTAAAGCTAGTATAATGTAGAGGTGGACATTTTAAGTTGGAAGCTGCCATGATAAGCTTTGTTTGAGTTTAATTATGTGATTAGAGAGAGGAGCAATAAAAAAGATAACCGAATTAGCCTGCCTAACCAAGATATGCAAGGCCCCATTGACAGCAATCATGCCAAAGCATTTTTAGTAATAATACAGCTGTTGGGTCCATTGTTTAAGTTCTAGGGGGATGCCTCAGTGGTTACGAGCACTTTTTTTGCTCTTGCAGAGGACCCAGGTTCAGTTCCCAGTACCCACATGGTGAGCACATTTCCTGGAAATCTAGATTTAGAGAATTGGAGATCCTCTTCTGGCTTCCTCATATTTCAGATATGCACATGGTACAGAGATATACATGCAGGCACAACACCCATTTAAGTTTAAAGAAGACACTTGACTGACACTTGCTTATCCTTAAAAATCTAAAGAGATTTTTATGCGTGTTTTTGGACTGTGTCATTGTAGTTAGAGATAGTGTTTATTACAGGGTCAGTACAGAATTACTGAGATTAGTTTTTCTCTACACATAATTTTTGCTTTGTCTTAGATTTTTCTGTGACTATTGCTCAAAGAAATAATTCTTATTGTATTTAGTATAATTTGAAAAGCAAGTGTGGAAGTAGTGTTTCTTGTTAAGGTTTGACATTTTCCCTGTGGCTCCCAGCACCATCCACTCACCTTATTGGGCAGGACTGCATCAATCTCATGCTGGAGTTTCTTCTGAACATTGGGGTGAGTTGCCAGTATATATGCAATAAATGTAAGAGTGGTGCTTGTTGTCTCATAGCCAGCAAAAATAAATGTGATTGATTGGGCCAGGATCTCCAGATCAGAAAGAGCTAAAATGAGATAAGACATTTTATGTGAATGATCAAAGCTGGTGCCTACACAGAGCCTTCACCTGCTTTGATCTACCATCTTTGGTGCAGGAGGATACACTGTACTTTATCTACAATGGTGTACTGCAGCAGATACGCAAGGGCAATGGTGGCACAATGCATGTGGGAGTAACCAACTAATAACTGATTTGACCTAGGATCTACTCTATGAAAAGGAACCAAGACTTGGTGCTGCTTAGATGATCTACAACCTAAGACTAGATATCCCAGGGACCAAGGGCAAAACCAAATAATACTGATATAAAAAAAAAAGAAATGTAGAGATCAAATGACTCCTAGTGGTATTCTGCTATACTTGTAGAGAAGTGCCTTGCTCAGCCGTCACCAGAGAAGCTTCCTGCTGCAGCATAAGGGAACAAATGTTCAGAGCCACAACCAGATGTTAGGCAAAGAGTGAGAGCCCTTGGAACATTCAATCCTAAATGGGTTGTCTCCACCAAATTCTTCTCCTCAGAGCCCAGGGAATCCCACAGAAGAGTTGTCAAGAAGAATGTAATAGCCCATGGACTTGAGAATACCCACAATACCAAGAATACAGGGTTCACCAAATTAACATGATGAAATATCATATGAACTCACAGAGACTGAGGAAGCATGCATAAGGCCTGCA